AGGGTCTTGGGAGGAATCTGCCTCCGAAGGTGGAAGGACCCCTTTCTCCTGGTGGGTGGGGCCTCGGGTGCTGTCCTTTGCCCTGCCACTTGAAGGCAGGCTCTCTAGTTCCTGCAGCTGTCCCACCATGCCAGGACAGAGCCCAGGTGTGTGTGTCACTCTGCCCCGATTCCTCCCATCTGCTGATTCATGCCCACTATTTATATTAGGGGGGAAAACCAAGACAAAACAAAACCCAACAAAAATAAAGCCTGGGAAACTAAACAGGCTTCCGATTTCCTCTGAAAGTGCAGGTCCTGCCTCGCTTTTCCACCTTTTGTCTGACCCCAGGGGATTGACTCACATGGCGAGAGGAGAGAATTCATCAGACAATGATCAGAACATTTGTCTGCAAAGCTCTGAGACCTCGAGCTTTACCAAGGGTGTGGTGTCTTGCTCTCAAGAAGGCTCTCTAAGAACGAAGGCAGGCAGTTTCTTTTGGTGACTATGTCAGTTAAGAATTTGGAGATGGGGGCTGGGGATGTGGCTCAAGCGGTAGCGTGCTCACCTGGCATGCGCAAGGCACTGGGTTCGATCCTCAGCACCACATAAAAACAAAATAAAGATGTGTCCACCGAAAACTAAAAAGATAATTATTTAATAAAAAAGAATTTGGAGATGGAAGTGACAAAAATCTAATCTGAGCTGGTTTAGGCAAACAGGGAAAGGCAGATTTGTTGGCTCACATACTGAAAAGTCCAAGGTGGATTGAGTTCAGGCACTGCTGGATCCAGGGCCTCCAGAATGTCACCAGAATGTTAGCTACAGGGACAATATGGGTAGAGAAAGAGAAAGGAGCATTCCCTCCACTACACTAGGACCCTCAGATGCCCTGACTCTGCTGGTGAGGCTGGACACGGCAGGGGGAGGGGTGGTGGCAGTTAATAGCTGCTTTCCCATGTGGCTCTTCCCTTACAGCCACAGTCTAGAGAATCCTTCAAGGGCAGGGAAGGACTCTACACCAGCTGGTTTCCAAACCACCCCCAACTCTCTCTCTCTCTCTCTCTCTCTCACACACACACACACACACACACACACACACACAAAGACACACATACCCCTCTGCATTCTGCCACACCTCTGAAGGATCTGGAAGCCCCTCTGCAGGTGGTTTCTGGCCTTGGGGAAGGCCTGAGGGTCCTGGAAGATGGACGTACCTCTGTGGGGTGGGAGCTGGCAAGCAGATGTGACCATGAACTAGGGACACTGACGTACCCAGTTCGGGTTTTGTGCCTGAGGGAAGTCCCAGCCTAACGCCTTCCTTTTACCAGGGGAGACAGAGGCCCAGGCAGAGCCGCACCTTGCAGAGAGCCATGTTCAGTGGCCAGAAACGTGCCCGCCTCTGCCCTGCCTGCTCAGGGGTCCTCTCGTTTTCCTTTGCCTGTCCCCAGGTGCCCGGGGCTCTCATGCCACCGGCTATGGCTACTCATGACTGGGCTGGAGATTGGGAAGCTACAGAAAATCCTTGCAGAGGGGACCACGCTCCCCGGCCATCGGGCCTCTCCTTCCCTGCACCCTCCTCCTCCTGTCCAAAGCCTTGGAGGCAGGGACCCATGAACCAGCCCTTGGCTTTCGCTTTCGCTGACTGCTGGGCCCAGAGCTCTCCCACCTCGCTCTCACGGCCACTCCTGGTCCCTCAAAGCCTCCATCCAGCCTTTCCAGGAAGCTCCCTCCTCCACCTCCGCCCTGCGGTGCTTACAGAGCACCCAGGACTGCGCCACCTGCTGTCCCTCACCTCACCCCTGTGGCTCACCTCACCCCGCGCCTGCCTTTCCCCTGCACCAGGAGCTCCTCTGAGGCGGGGACTGTCTGGTCCTAGGTGCCTGCAGGAACAAAGCCTCATTGTCTCCACAGCACTGTGAGCAGGTGTGAGAGGACAGAGGGACAGCGACCTGACCAAGACCACACAGAGAGCAAGAGGACGATGAGGCGGGAGGAACCTAGGAAATCGGCTCCAGAGTCAGGCTCTGGACTCCTGTGCCCCAGGTTCGCTATGAAGGTTTGTTGGGTGCATTAAGGGTCTTCTTTCTGTCTCTGTGGCCAGCACCTTGCACGTAGGGTTTGGCCCTGGTGAGAACCAATTTTGCCACTGCAGATTTTCCTGGGCTTCCCTGGGGGCCAGCGCCATGCTCAGGGTCACATGTCCTGCGTTACTCTCATGGCTGCTGAAACAGATGCCACAGGTGTGCTGGCTTAGGTGACTTTGTTTTCTTTTTGGAGATCGGAGTCTGAAATCTGCTTCACTGGGCCAAATCAAGGTGGGCAAACAGTAGGGCTCAACTCTGCCCCTTGGCTGCGGCGCCTCCTCCACCTCCTCGCCTCTCCGTGCATTCTCTCTCTCTGACCCTCCTCCTCCTGCCGTCTTGAGTCCTCCTGGATAATCCGTGAGAATTCACCTCCAGGTCCTTAACCTAGCCACACCTGTGAAGGCCTTTTCACCATGTAAAATAGCATTTTCTCAGGTTCCAGGATAAGGACATTCTGAGGGGATATCATTCCACCTACCACCGGCACCATCTAACAAAGTCCCTGTGCAGAAGGCTGCGACAGAGACCGCAGGATTAGCCATTGAAAGAACGAACAAGGCTCCTTGTGGAGAAAATGCCTGTTTATTGAGGAACAGCTCTGCTTATTTATAGAGCCGGGGGTGGTTTGACAGTTATGACAGTTTAACGGTTTAATGGTCTGACAGTTGGCACAGGGTGCTTTCTGATTGGTGGGTAAGGGTCATGTGAGTCAGCAGGGCTAGTCTGATTGGTGGGTAAGGATCATGTGAGTCAGCAGGGCTAGTCTGATTGGTGGATAAGGATCATGTGAGCCAGCAGGGCTTATCATTGGATGGCTCTTCTCTGGGGGGATGGGGAAGTTAGTCTTTGGAGCTGGGGTGACTCCTAACAGCCATGTTGAAGAGATGTGGAGAGTACATGGTGTACAGTAGGCGCCCAATGTGTGTTCGTGATCCAGTGTGCCAGCCGGTTGGTGTCCCGTTGTTCTTCCTGGAGAGAAGCTTGGAGGATGCACTCAGTCCTGTCATCCCTGTCCCCTCCTCTGTGGGCAGAGATGCTCTGGACTTTTGTTTGGTACTCCACTTCTCTGTCTCCTTGGCAAGCTCACAGTCCCCTTCCACGCAAGGACCAACTCTCTTGGGTTATTTCTGATTTTTGCTCCCCACAGCACAGATCCCCAAGTCTTCATAGATGACAATAGATTTATCTAAATTTTCTTTGAGCAAAAACATCTTGCAAGCATCCCAGCGGCAAGTAAGAGTTTCAGGTCTGGAATCAGACTGCCTTGTGTGCAGATTGTGTGACTTTTGGAAAGTAGTTTAATTCAGCTGAGCTCAGTTTTCTCATCTGAAAAATCAGGACTAATAAGAACACTTTCTCACTCAGTACCTGAAAAGATGCTGTTTTGATTTTTTTTTTTTTTGTTTTGTTTTGGTACCAGGGATTGGACCCAAGGGCACTTTACCACTGAACCACATCCCCAGCCCTTTTTGTTTTTTACTTTGAGACAGGGTCTTGCTGAGGCTGGCCTTGAATTTGCAATCCTCCTGTCTCAGCCTCCTAAGTCGTTGGAATTACAGGCATGCACCACCACACTCAGAAAGAAGTGATTATGCTAGAATTTGCTAAGTGGTCCCAGGGTTGTTTTGTTGTTATTGTTTTGGGTACTGGAGATTTAACCCAGAAGACTTTACCACTGAGTTATATCCCTAGTCCCCTTTTTTTAATTTTCAGACTCGGTCTCACTAAGCTGCTGAGGGTCTTGTTAAGTTGCAGAGGCTGGTCTTGAACTTGTGATCCTCCTGTCTCAGCCTCCTTCATTGCTGGGATTACAGGCATGCACCACCACGCCTAGCAGTTCCCAGCTTCTTGCTGTCCCTTCCCGCATCTCTGCCATATCCTGTCTCTTATTCTAGACACCCCCCCCCCCGCACTGCCTATTAACACAGATTCTCTGGAAGGGACACACCTCGGATGTACCACCACATAGATAGCCATCTTTCCACTCAGCCTTTTCCCATCACGCTTGTCTTGGTGGGGCAGAGGTGACGTTTGCACCTGGAGGAGATGTCATAGAAGGCATTCCTGCATGACTTCATCTCTGGGCTGTGCTCTCAAAATTCCAACCGAATCAGCTCTACCCTTTAAGGGGTGGAAGAAGGGTCGGCATTCCAGAAGTTCCTTGTCATACTCAGGCTTTTAATCAGTTGACATTGGAGAATTCGCATCCCAGTGCTGAAAGGCTCCCCGGGGTTGGGGTGTGAGTCGGAAGAGGGGTCAGAGCTGTCCTGCACCCTGCCCCGCACAGGTCTGTCTGGTCTGGAAATCTGGCTGGAGAGCGAATCTTGAGAGTCTGCACAGAGTTCCCTTGGGGTGGTCAGCACCACGGACAGCGGCCCCGGCGACGGCCGGGTGTGAGGAGCCCGGGCGGGTGCTGGGTTACGGCTGCAGGCGCGGGAACTGCGGGAGGAAGACGCTGCTGGCGGCGGTGGGCGTCGGCTGGGGCTCTTCTCTGAGTCACCGTGCGCCCCACGCTCGCGCGGGCCTTGGAAGGCTGGGGTTCTCCCTGTCGCTTCCAACAGTGGCTGGGTGGGGAGGGAAGGGGAAAGAGCCATGTTCAAGGCCCCAGATTTTTGCGAAGGAAGAAGCTGTCCCCCGCACGCTCCCGCCCTGGCCCGGCCCATTTCTATACAAGGCCTGCTTCCCCACCTCCACCCCCAGTGAGTATTCCTCACAGGCGCAGAGCATTCCCAGGTCCTGAGCTCAGAGGGCCGGAATGTGGCTGATAAATCAGAGATAACCCCCACACAGGGGGGGAAGGGCTGGCCGGACACCCAACGCCAGGATAAAAGGCCACGGTTGCCGGAGGAGCCAGGAGAGCCTCCGTGGGCCTGGAGGAGGTGGCCGTGAACTTGGACGGAAGCAGCAGCAGCCCCAGCCCACCACCCAAGCGACATGGACCCCCAGATGGTGCTGTCCCGGGGAAGTCTGCTTGTGCTTTTCCTGAGCCTGTTGCTGCCAGGAGGTCGCCCCCACCCGCTGGGCAGCCCTGGCCAGGCTGCGGAGCTCGCTGGGATACAGGTGAGGCTGAGGCTGGAGGCTGGGCTGTCGGAAGGGCTGGCAGCAGCACTTACTGGGCTCCCACCTGTCAGCCCAAGGGTCTGCCCTTCATTGGGGAATGAGTGACAGGTGAGGTGCATGATCCTGAGCTCAGGCTCCCCCCCACTACAGGAGCTGCTGGATCTCCTGCAGGACGAGGGGTCAGAGCCACCAGCACAGCAGACGGCCCTGGAGCCGCTCCAGCAGGACCAAGGCCCCACAGAAGCCTCGGAGGCTGCGAAGGCTGCCCCCAAGGGTGTCCCTGGGCCCAGAGACAAAGTCCTCCAGGCTCTGCGGGGACTTCGCACCGCCAAGATAATGCGAGACTCGGGTTGCTTCGGACGGAAGTTGGACCGGATCGGCTCCTACAGCCGCCTGGGCTGCAATGGTGAGCCCCCACCTCGCCACCCCGCTGGCCAGCTGCACTCTCACCCACATCCCTGTGCAGGCCACCGTTAGCGGCACCGTGGGTTTGTTGTCTAGGACACCCGGACATCTCCTCTGACAGTCTCCAGGGCCAAGGGGTGCCTTTCTGGAAATGTGAAATGGGGACATCATTCATTAGGTGCTCAATGAATCCCCACCCTCCTCCTGGCCACTCCCTGCCTCTGATCAAACTGGAGCGGAATCTCCAGAGGGTGGAGTTTGTTCACTGCCCGGCAGCCCCTCCTGGGAGCAGACAGGGTCCTAAGCCAGGAGCCCCCTGGCTTCTCTGGAATTGCATGGAGCCTTGAAGGCAGAGGACAGGATCGCCAGGGTCACCCCACTTTCCAGAGGAGGAAACTGAGACCCAGAGAGGAAGGTTGTTCCAAAGCCTCAAACATCAAGATCAGTGGAGGGACTGGAGGGTGGGGGTGGCGCACAGCGGGGGAAGCTCAGCTCCTGCCTCCATTTCCCCTCAAGGTCATGGTCACCCTGTCTTCTCCCCACAGTGCTGAGGCGGCATTAGGAGGAAGTCCTGCTGCGGACATCAGCTTCCGATCCCACAGGGGCCTCTTTCCCCAGCCCCACGGCTCCCTTTGAAGTGACTGCTATTTATTCTACTTATTTATTTATTTATTTAGCTGTTTTCTATAAGATGTTTCTTACCTCTGAGCACAAATTTCCTCAGTGAAATAAAGTCAACATTGTACCTCTTTTGAAATGGATTTGTCTTCATGTATTCACAACAATCCCTTGTTTGGGGAAAAAAAAATCACAACACCCTGTGTTTTCTGCAGGCCCCAGAGGGGTCCTAATGGTGGGTTGGAGGCGCAGCCTGAGGGCTGGTCCAGTGGGCGGTGGGGCTTGCTTTCCCTCCAGGGTTGTTAATGCTCTGAAATGTCTGTGCACACGTCATACATGCAAGACACTTTGCAGAAGCTGCTTTTCAGAGTGGATACTCCCTTCCTGGGAGCGGGGTGACCGTGGGGCGTGAGTCACCGCCTTTGTCTCCCTGGTCTTCTGTGCCTGGAATTCCACCAACCAGTAAAGCTGTCTCCCTGATGATGGCTCCTTCCAGAAGCTCTAACCAAAGTGTCAGGGACTGGAGGCAGAGTGTGTGTCGGGGGGAGTGAAGGCTGCTCACTTGCACCCAGTGGGGTGAGGCTCCATCCGGCCCCAGACCTCAGCTTCCTGATGTCACCCAGGAAAGGAGCCTTCAAAAACCCTAACCAGTTGGGCACCACAGAGCCCACCTGTCATCCTGGAGACTCAGGAGGCTGAGAAGGGGGGATCTCAAGTTTGAGGCCAGCCTTGGCAACCGAGCCACACTGTCTCAAAAGAAAACATAAAAAGGGGCTGGGGATGTGGCTCCGTGGTAAAGCACCCTTGGGTTCAATCCCCAGTACAAACAAATAAACAAAACCCCAAATCACAAGTCAACAAGGTTCTGACCAGAAGCCGAGCTCTTTGGGTGCCCTTCCCCTGGGGCTGCTATCTCACTTCCTCTGACCCCAGAGAGAGACAAGGAGACAGCCTGCAGAATCCCGTTGTGTGTCTTTCACAGGGTCCCCTCCCACACCCTACATTGCCGGGATCCCAGGCCACGCGGCCAAACCCTGTCCTCCACAGCGTCATTTATGGTCTGAGCTCAGCTGTGGGATGAGGCCCATTTGCTGGGTGAGAAAACTGAGACTCAGAAAAAAAACAAAGCACCCTACCTGAGAGCCTGCAGCCACCTAGGGCTGGTGCTGGGGTGCTGGTGGGAACCAGCCGGCGGCCAAGTCTGTGCGCTCCAACTCCCTCACTCTGGGCCCTGCCTGCGCTCCCACAGGTCCTTCCGACGTGCTCATCCGGGTTTCTTTGAGTGAGAGGGAACCAGGAGGCTGGCTCTTCATGTTATTGCTCATTTTAACCCAGAGTGCACCAGAGCTTATGGGTGTCTGATGAGGTCAATTAAATTTTTATGTTTTGAACTGGGGATTGAACCCCCGGGGTGCTTTGCCACTCAGCCACATCCCCAGCCCTTGCTGCTTTTTTTTTTTTTTTTTGACACAGGATCTTGCTAAGTTGCTTAGGGCCTTACTAAGTTGCTGAGGCTGGCCTCAAGCTTGCGATCCTCCTGCTTCAGCCTCCAGAGTCACTGGGATTGCAGGTGTGCGTCACCACACCTGGATTTATTAAGATTTTTTTTTTAATGAAGTTTTAGGAGCAGCTTATTTTCCAAGAGACTGTTGAGTCGTCTTTGTTTATACTTCTGACCCAGGAGGGCAATGAGTGGTTAGAACATGTATGAAGGTTTTATCAGTGGAGCAGGCAGAGTCCTATCAGCTGTGATTGTCCTTACAACTCCTCAAAGAACTCCTACCACCCCTTGTTCTACAGACGGGCAACCAGGCCACAGAGAAGTGGTGTACCCTGCTTAGGACTCTACAGTTAGTAAGTGGCTCTGCCAGGACTCAACCTGGCTCCTAACCACTGTCCTGCCCAGCCTTTCCTGAGCCAGTGGACTGGGCTTGCTGGTGGGAGGGAGTTTCCTCCTACTGGCATTGCTACTTCAGCACTTGGGGACAGGGCCTGCTGGCAGCCTGTCCCTCTGCTCAGTGATGAAGACACACCCCTCCCAGAACACTCACTCCCCAAACAGCCGGAGCTTCAAAATCTTCAAGGGGAGACCAGCTCATCCATAAGGAGGGCTCGGTTGGTGGAACCCGCACACGTACTAGATCCTGTTACTGGGTCTTTTCCCCAAGTAAAGGTCCAGGAAAGAGGACCCCAGGCTACTTGTGCAGGAGTCAAGTGTGACTGCTGGGGACTAGGTAGTGGGCAGCCTGGTGTACCCAGAAGAGGGACGTCTGTCTCACCCAGTTCCCCTGCAGATGGTGTGGCGGACAGCACCACTGTGCATGCACTGTCCCTGGATGCCCTTTAAAACCAGCCCCCCATAGTGCACGCCTGTAATCCCAGCGACTCTGGAGGCTGAGGCAGGAGGATCACAAGTAAAAGGCCAGCGTCAGTAACTTAGTGAGGCCCTGAACAACTTAGTGGAATGGTATACAAAAATAATTTTTTTTAAAGGATTGGAGTAAAGCACACCTGGGTTCAATCTCCAGTACCTAAAATAAAATAAAATAAAGTCCGCCCTCCCTGATGTATTCCCTTGTAGTACCATGGCTCTAACTTCCCTGGCTAGCCGGTCTTCAATCTACCAAATGATCTTTCTTTTTTTTTTTTTTAATTGTAGTGGGACACAATACCTTTATTTTATTTATTTGTTTTATGTGGTGCTGAGGATCGAACCCAGGGCCTCATCCATGCTAGGCGAGTGTTCTTCTGCTGAGCCACAACCCCAGCCCCAAATGATCTTTCAGACACAAATCACTGTATTCTTTCTAGAAAGAAGTGTTGGTGAAAACAGGCCCAGGGAGATTCAGTCCACAGTTCCAGGAAAGTTTTCAGAGGAGGGTGACCAGCTTTGCCAGGCCTTGAGTGACGAGGTTACGGAAGTCAGGCAGCGGTGGGAAAATTACTTCTTTCTTTCTTTCTTTTTTTTTTGGTGCCAGGGATTGAACCCAGGGGCACTTAACCATTGGGCCATGTCCCCAGCCCCCTTTTAAAAGATATTTCATTTATTTCTGTTTAGATATGCATGACAATAGAGAGCATTTTGACATGTCATGCATACATGGAGCATAACTGCCCATTCTTGTGGTTGTACATGATGTGCAGTTTCTCTGGTGTGTATTCATATATGAACATAGGAAAGTTATGTCCAGCGCATTCTACTGTCTTTCCTATTCCCACCCTCCCTCCCTTCCCTTCATCCCCCATTTGTCTAATTCAGCAAACTTCTATTCCCCCCTTATTGTGAGTTAGCATCTGCTTATCAGAGAGGATATTCAGTTTTTGGTTTTGGGGGATTGGTTTATTTCACTTAGCATGATAGTCTTCAGTTCCATCCATTTACCAGCAAATGCCATAATCCCATTCTTCTTTATAGCTGAGTAATATTCTTTTGTGTGTATATAACACATTCTTTTTAAAATTTATTATTTTAATTAGATCTACTTTGTTGTACATGACAGAAGAATGCATTTCAATTCATTGCACACAAATGGAGCTCAACATTTCAATTTTCTGGTTGTACACACCATTCTTATACCACACTGTCTTTCTCCATTCATCTATTGAAGGGCACCTAGGTTGGTTCCACGGCTTGGCTATTGTGAGTTGAGCTGCTATGAACATTGATGTGGCTGGTCACTATAGTATGCTGCTTTTAAGTCCTTTTAGCATATGCTGAGGAGAGGCCCAACTCTTTTCTTATATTTTATTTCGAGACAGGGTCTCACTAAATTGCTTAGGGTCTCGCCAATTGCTGAGGCTGGCTTTGAACTTGCGGTCCTCCTGCCTCAGTCTCCAGAGCAGCTGGGATTACAGGTGTGAACCACGGCGGCCAGCACCTGTGATGCTCTTCCCCCTGCTCCTTGCGGTGGCTTTAACCCTTCTGAGAATGACTCGTGGAAAGGCGAAAAATGCAGACCCAGGTCTAACCCAGATCATGAACTTGGCCATTGTCTGGCTCCTGCTGTGACTGTCTTCTGTCCTCTCTGGGACTTGTCACCCATCTGGAAGGATCATTCCTATTCCACTAAGTGACCCGTTTCCCCCACGGGGTCAGGAGTCACCCCACACAGCTGGGTGACCTAAAAACACACTCTGTCTCTGTCTGCCCTGGACACTGGCTCCTGCTCTCCTGCCCCTGACATGGCCCAGCCCATGGCCTGACCTGGTCACTTCTGTGCCACCGGCCCGGCTTCCAACAGCAGTCCTGCTCTCTTCTGCCTGAGGGCCGTCTCTGGCACGGGGCACACCCGGCTTCGCTGGAGCAGAGCTGGACCGACCTCCACCAACCTCGGCTGGACTTGGCGTTTGAAGGCCCAGCTCCCGTAGCTCACAGGTGACTCTGGCATTCCCCAGGCTCAGTGCTGTCCGCAGGGAGGGGCAGCTCACGTGGTCATCAAAGTTCCACTTTCCTG